CAACATATAGGTAATAGTTATTATTAAGAACACATTTGTACGATTAACTTTTTTATCGTTTGTTCTGAAATAGCATTTAAAAAAATATATGCATGAGCGCGTGTGTGAATTGTGGAAAACATGATATCAAAAACAGGGTGACCCCCCTTATCCGCACAATCAAAAACTGGGTAACCCCCCTACTGATCCACCGACACCCCCCCTAGGCCGAAGTAACTGACCAATCCCTAACTTCGTGGTGGAAGTGTTACCAAATTTTTGTTATCATAATTTTAGTGATAATAATAGTAGTAAAGTGGAAGGTGCTACTAGTATCTGCCACCGTCATGGGACGTGTTGATCATTTGACACTATATCAGAAAATGAACAGCCAAATGTTTCTATTTGAAAGCGGACAATCTTTGTGCTTATCAGCTGGACTTTTGATTATATGCATGTATTTCACAATTACAATATTCTGAATAAATTAACTTTTTCTTCCTTGTACTCCATTCGGAGAAAAAACAAACAAATAATATACTAGTGAACCTCGATAAAAACAAGTGATCCGTAGAAAATGGCCGTTAGCGGCGACACATTACCCACAGTTCCTCACTGGGTCAGGTCACTTGGATTGTTGCTTTGGGAACCAAACTTACTGTCATGGCGGCTGAGTGGCGAAAAATATTGTGATAAGGCCTTTATTGTGATTTCTTGATAGGTAACACGAAAAACAACGAAACCGTCCTTGAATTAGATATATATACTATGTAAGGAATATAGCCATACGCCGAATTAACGTCACTAAAGTGGATAAATAACAGGAACAACTTGTGTCTCCAGCTCAACGGATTTTACTGTGATCGGATCGGTCATCATCTACAAATTTGGGTTTTGTTTACAATACACTGCATCATCTGTTTCGCGAAAAGTAACTTTATTTTCGATCTGACATACATATACCGGGCTTGCTTACTATATTGATCGATCAATTTGTGATTGATTCGGTCTGATAAAGCCTGTAATTTAGGGCATTCAGTTATAATTCCAGCGGTTGAGACGAATCGAATCATGATGGCGGAAGCGCGCATTGTTCCAAGTGGACAAATATACAGACAGATATTCGATGCAGAGGTGAGCTTCTTACGTTATATACATATATTTTGGGTTTCTGCGCTTTAATGTCTGTTGTCGTATTGGTTGTTGGTGCGTTGAGGGATCGTGCGTCAGTTAATATAAACCCCGACCATCCTCACCTTGGGATATGTGGGGGGAAATGACTGAAGTTGCTAAGTGTGTAGTGACTTACTACCATGTTAATCCCCTACCCCATTCTCCCCCTCTCTGTCTTCACCTTTTTTTCTTGATCTTCCTATCTTCTTTCTTGGGTACTGTAAGAGTTTCTCAGGACCCCTACACCTAATCCTAACACTGCCCCACCAGTGCCCCTCCCCCATTTCCATTGTATATGCCCCTCACCTGGTCACTTGTAGTTATTTGGAGGGGCATACTGAATGACATTGGGGGGGGGGGCTGGAGTGTAAAGTTTGTGTTCAGATCAGGGGTGAGGGGGCCTTAAAAAATACTTTCTGAATGTTGAGATATAAAAAATTGTCAGCTTTAAAATGGTTAAATATATATAGCAGTCAACAGCTGTTATTATTTTTTACCACTAACCTATATTTTCTCAATTTATGGTCGAGTACAGTCGAACTCGACCAAATTCTAGCTCGGCCAGATAAAAATAGTCAAACTCCCCCAAATATCACCGAAGTGTGAAGTGGTCAATTGTCAATAATTATCACCTTCTTTCATGTCTGTTTCGAGTGCTTATATGTAGCGGCATTTTATTTTCAGATGATATATCTGCTGTACAACACACCCAGCGATGCTATCGCTACACTCTTATGTTGTTGATTACCCGATAGCTTCCATGACTGTTTTGTTGTCGATTTCAGTGACACAAGTATCTGTCACACAACATGCCCAGCAACGCTACCGTTTGCTGTTATTCATTTCAATAATTCATGTGACTGTTGTTGTTTTCAGTGACATAGAAAAACATAGACATTACAGCAGAAACACAGTCATTGTATCGTGGACCATCTGGCTCTGCAATGTAAAAACACAAATAATATTACCGTGATATGACTATGGCAGTCTGTACTTTGTGTGTGTGAGCAATTGTTTTTTTTTATTCACTTGGTTTGCCACTGCACATCACCCTCCATTAATAAATTAATTATACCTGCAAAATGCCTGTGCCGAATTTGAAACATTTTGTTTGTGTGGTCTTATCAGTACTATGTGTTATGAATGAGGTACCAGTACTTCTCAAAGTATGTACCGGTATAATGATAGCAAACTGTAGTACTTTAACCATATAATTAAATCTCAGGTGCAACTTGTGAAGGAATATGAAAAGTTACAAGAGAAGAGAAATGATGAAGTAATTGAAATAAAAACACAGAAAGTACCACTAGTCAAAGATGGTAGAAAAGCAATGGGTGAAAGTTTACTGAATGAAAGGCAGCGCACATGGATTGAAAGTATGCCTAATGATTCAGTCACAGAGAACCCTACATTCTATAGGTAAGTGCATTATGGAATGAGATTTTTATTATTCCTAAGGTAACACATTACTAACATAGATCTTTGGTTGAATAGCATCTTGGTAATTGCACATAGTTGACCAGATACATGTATCTGTCTGATAATGATGATACTTATAGTTAATAATATCCTGACTCGATGGCTTTTACAATTTTCTTAAAGGTGATGTGAATATATTTTCTTACAAAATAGATTTTTTTTAATAAATCTAAAATGCTTGTTGAACCCTGTTTCACCCATCAAAATACACTTTAACTTAATAGCTGATAAATACCATCAATGTTAGTGTAACCCTTGACCTAACCTAATAATTTCCCTGCTTCTCAAAATCATATGCGTTTTTTTATCATTAATTGATTAATGTTCTGTACCCCCACAATGCAGAGATAGTATATGTGTGCATGTGCTCTCATAAATGACATGCGTTCCTATTGTCAAAATAGAATAAATTGTCCAGTATATAATGCTATAATAACTGTAAATTTATCTAAACCAGTTTGCAATTGTAGACTTAATTGCTTTTTATGACACCCCTGTATTAAAAGGGAACTGTAATATTCTCAGTACTGTAGAATACTTTATTTTAGCTGGAATTAATTTTCGCTAATTTTTGACAAATTGAATGCCAAAATAGGAAAAAGGGTATATTCGCTGGATTTTATTTTTACTAAATCATTCCTTCGGCGAAAATAGCAAAATTAATTCCAAGTGAAAATAAAGTATTTTACAGTATCTTGTTCACTGTGGATGATCCGTGTATAATTATAATATAATGTTTTTTTTCCATCCATAGGCAGCTCACATCTATAAATACCAAACAGTTGATGGAACCTGAATCTCAACTGGCTGCCAGGGAAGTTAGAGGTCTTGCTGATACCGTCAGTAAGTAGAACATATGAAACAAAATAGTTTTATTTTATTGACTCACTGATTTTAGAAACTTTTATCCAAAGTATCCCTGTAATAAAGGGTTCTCAACTGATATCAGTTTATTAAACCCGGAGCAAGCTGGTACTCTCACACCATCCAAACATGATATATAATTTGTATTTTGTTTTGTTTTGATTCGACAAATTGTTATGTTTATCACAAATAAACTATTATAAATATTATGTGCTACAGTATATAACTTTTAGAAAACACATTTTTATTATTAAAAATTTATTTGGAAATTTCCCATAGCTATTTCATATTTTTTTTAGATATTTTTTTTTTTATTTGCTAAAAGCATAGTTTAAAATTGAATTTACACTCTTTAAGTATTGCATATATGAAACATGTGATGTTGTATATAGGTAACATATGAACACCAGAAAATTGAAATGTTTTCAAAACAAAGCCATACTGAAAGTGATATGTTTGTGTTGATAGAATCTGAAAGAACTGGCTCTGATATCATTGAGAGAATTGAAGAAAGTCGTCGCAATAGACATGAAGCAGCTGTGGAGGATATGCATCAGGAGTTGGCAATCATCGCTTCAGTAAGTTTTCCGCATGACACAAACTTTTGAGGGTGAAATTTGTAGAGTTGTGTGCACTACAGTTCAAACCTGTGTATAGTGACCACCCAACAAACCTGTGTATAGTGACCACCCAACAAACCTGTGTATAGTGACCACCCAACAAACCTGTGTATAGTGACCACCCAACAAACCTGTGTATAGTGACCACCCAACAAACCTGTGTATAGTGACCACCCAACAAACCAGTGTATAGTGGCCACCCCACAAACCTGTGTATAGTGATCACCCAACAAACCCGTGTATAGTGACCACCCAACAAACCTGTGTATAGTGATCACCCAACAAACCTGTGTATAGTGACCACCCAACAAACCTGTGTATAGTGACCACCCAGCAAACCTGTGTATAGTGACCACCCAACAAACCTGTGTATAGTAACCACCCAACAAACCTGTGTATAGTGACCACCCAACAAACCTGTGTATAGTGACCACCCAGCAAACCTGTGTATAGTGACCACCCAACAAACCTGTGTATAGTGACCCAACAAACCAGTGTATAGTGACCATCCCACAAACCAGTGTATAGTGGCCACCCCACAAACCAGTGTATAGTGGCCACCCCACAAACCTGTGTATAGTGACCACCCCACAAACCTGTGTATAGTGACCACCCAACAAACCTGTGTATAGTGACCACCCAAGAGACTTCATTACAATGGTCTTTATAGATTGGTGGTCTTTATATGGAGATTGGATAGATACCAGCTCTTACATTTGACGTAAAATTTGTCCAGAAAATATTGAAATGTTGCAACAAAATCACATTCATTTTAGATGATTAAAATAAAATAATTGTAACATACTGTAAAATACTTTATTGTAGCTGGAATTAATTTTCGCTGGAAAGACTTTTTTGGGGTTTGATTCCAATGTGTAAAAATAATTCTAAGTGAAAATAAAGTATTTTACAGTAATTAATTAATAACTAATAAAGCAAATACTGTGCATGTACACTTTGAAATGATCTAGTTTGTGTCGTACAGAAATTTTACTGTCTTGAAACATGCTTGTTGGAGTAAATATGTAATTTGTTGTATTTTACAGGACTTGGAACCGAGAATAACTGAGGCAGGAGAGATTCTTATTCAGAATTTAGCTAGCAATGATGAAGGTAAATAATGCACCAAAAGTTTGGTTGGTACAATTTTAGCACTCAAAGGTTAATGATTCATTTATGCTACTTCATAACCTACTGTAAAATACTTTATTTTAACTGAAATTAATTTTCACTGGAAAGATATTTTGGGTGTTTTGTAGGGAGTTTATTCTCACTGATTTTTGATGAGTTGAATGTAAAATAAAAGGAAATAGGTATATTCGCTGGATTTTATTTTCAGTGAATCTTCCCTTCAGCGAAAATAAACTGCAAGTGAAAATAAAAAAATTTACAGTATTCTGTAATAAATGTTTGGGGTGTCATAGTATGAGCTTATGAGAATATAGCAATGTATAAATAAAGGAATTATGTACAGTGATCTACTGATGTGTACCAAAGGGTGATGTGACTCTGTACTGCCTGAGTGCATACTTTCTCATGATAATTACATTATTATACATCTTTTACATTCAGTGTGTGTGCTTTGCTGCAATGTAAACAAAAGAGTTTTCAAATATGATGGCAGTAACCTTAAACGTGTTAATGCTGGTGTCGTAGTTTACCCCATATAAAGGAAATATAAATGTTTGCATGAGTGCTGATACGTTTTGGAATGAGTGCTGATACTGCTTTATACAAAATGATAAATTCTATTGTTTTTAGTGCTAGATGTGTACTGTAAATGCATTAATTGTTCACTGATTTTTATTTTCACTATTTTCGCTAATAATTTAAATCAACATTAACAGGTAAAACAATAGAACTCATTGTTTGTCTGTTTGTGAACTTAAATCCCAATGAAATTGATCAAATCATCAAAATAGTGAAATCAAACGCCAGTGAAAATAAATGATTTTACACCATATTAGTATTATGTGTACAGTCACTATCAGCTGAATATTAAATCGTTTTTTACAGTAGTCTGTACATGCTTAATGATTGGGTATTTTTACAGGATATTTGCTTGTTTATTCACAGAGATAGCAGCAATACTGGCAAAGATTTCAGATGATCAGGTAAGATGACTGGTTGCTCAGTAGAAAGTGATATTTAATGTTTTTGCTATATAATGGAGGCATCAAGGTGCAATTATTATTGCTATGGGCTAGCCATCTCAGGATTGTGTGTTTGAGTTCTGGCTATGCCATATTGTTGTATTTTTTACCCAGGAGTAAATGTTAACCATTTCACCACCAGTTCTCTCTTGTCATCACAAATTCACAAAATAGTCCCATTTATAGTCTGCACTTTTCTTCAGAAGATTGGGACAAAAATAGCTTAATTTTTTTAATAAAAACTGAAAATTGACTAAAACTTTGTCTGTTGGCTCCAAAATTAGGGTTTATTTCAAAAAATATTGAAGAATATACAAAACAATTGTAAACAAATTTGGGTGAGAAAGTACATGTATGGTGGTGAAAAGGTTCAAGTATGATTGGCACTTAACCAGGAGTTGAAATGTTGTAAAATTTTGAATCATTTTATAATTTACAAGGTTAAATAAATATAAGCATTGTTACCAATTTTTAATTATTCTAGGTAGTGTGTATGTAACATGTATTTCTTAACGTGATGTAATATTACAATATTATTTGTTTGCATTGCAGGTGTTACAAAACTATTCCCTGGCACAACTTATAAGTCTATGGGATGAAGTGGCATCGCATTCATCTTACAGACAGACTTGGATTATTGAGTTAGATCAAACTTTGAGCAGGGTTGAATCTCACAGAGAAGAACTGGTGAGTCACTATTGATTTACTGTAAAGATTGTGATTTCAATATCTGCCACTAGAGGGCGACATTAGTGAATCATCAGTTTATTCTTCACTGTATATTTTCTCATTCTCAGATTGCAAAGATTTTTAAACACTATGCCAAGATGTTAGAAGGGATTGCCCATCTCATGCCACCAGATGTACAGAGACTGTTAGAAAAGGAATCTCAGGTAATTTAATTCTGCAGCGTTACCTGCTAAAAGCCTCAATGAATAACCGCAATGAGTGGGAGAAAATGGCGTCAGCGGGCAATGTGTTATTTTTACAATATATTTCTGAAAATGAACCCTAATTTTGAAGGCAACAGAAAAAATTTGAGCCAATTTTTGGTTTTTACTCCAAAAAATTGGCTATTTTTGTCCCAATCTTCTGAAGGAAAGTGAATACATGTACTATAAATGGGACTATTTTGTGAATTTGTGATGAAATGAGGTAACTGGTGGTGAAAAAGTTAACAAGCTTAGCCAGTATCAACACTTTTTTAAGGCTGACTATTGAATGTGTAGAAAATTATTGCATTTTAATTAGTTTACAAAAACACACAAATTGCAGTTTTTAAGGATGTTGACATATTCCTAGTGCTATAGACATTGTGTGCAGCACACATTTTAATTTTTTTATAAAATAACAATGTCAAATTGTATGTGTATGCATGGGACCCATGTCCAACCTCAATGTCCGACTGTATCGTTTTAAAGGCATATATACCATATCTTTTAAACGTTTGTAAAACATTAGTATGGTGTATATTTTTGTAAACAATGTATTTTACATAATAAATGTGACGTTGAGCATCGACTGTTCAAAAGACGATGATCATCACGTCGCGCATATGCAAGATTAGTATTGATAAACATTGATTGTCCCAATATGCGGTCTCCCAATAACAACCACCAATACAAATTTTAGGCACAATATGTGCACTAATTGATTCTTTAGAATATACTTTGAAGCGTTCCAATCATCACAGAAATTATCCAGTAAAACCTTGGTGAAGTCTCATTTGCTGTACTGATTGATCAGTGCAACACTCAAAGTCGCCATCTTTGTTCATATGTGAACCATATCTAGTGATCATAATTGTGAATGAATATGTGCATGCTCATGTCTCGGTGATAACTTCAGGTATCGCACTAGTAATTTTATGCAGCATGGTGACAACATTTCAGTGTTCCTCCATCAGAAATGTCACCTTAATTTGAATCAAAATGAAAAGGTTCTTGCACTTTGCGATATTCTCTTAATAATGAATTATGCTGATAAAATCATAGTCAAATTCTGGGAATCTTGTGTTTCCATGACAATGATGTCTGTAAAGATTTAGTGATGTTACTGTTTTGTTTCTCAGATAATTAACCAGACTATGCTAGCGAATAGACGAGCTTATGCTGATTTATTTGCAAGACTAATGAAGAACGATGTTGAACGGGAACGAAATCAACATGAAATGTGGAGAAATAGAGTTGAAGACTGGAAACAGTTGAATATTAATGAAGCTGTAAAGAAATTCACGTAAGTTTCCATACTTGTATCTTCTACGGTTTGATGATTCTGAGAATTACCGTTACTGATGTACCCTCTCATCATGTACGTTTAAATATACATCCGTTTTTCATAACTACTAATTACAAAATCCAGGGATGGGGTAACTTACTTGCAGAATGACAGTGTGTGCCACATTCACATTCAATGTGTTAACTTACCACTTCTGGACTACAATTTAAAAGTTTCAAACCTTTTGGTCAAAACAGGTACATAATGCAATAGTTATATAGACTTAAGCTGCTGTAAGGATTCATTTGGGAAATGTTGACTTCAAAAACTCCAGAAGTTTGCATTACAACTTGTGCTTGCATATCGAGAATGTTTTTTTACTATGTTGCATAATTGTCTTGTAAACAAATAAAAAAACTAAAATTATACATTCAAAATTGATTGTTTTCTATACCTAGTTTTAGAGACCATTAAATTAGACCATTAGAGTGTCAAGCTAACTGTGGTCATAAACTACACCCCATACAGTAAATGTGGCACTCCCTCATTTGTGTGTTAACTTGAGTCCTCCCTGGGATACAGAGATTATCCTTCCATAAAAGCATGTTTATATATAAAGTACATGTATATGCCTGCTGTATCTTTCTATTAATTTGGCATCTTGATATGTGCAGTGTGTTGTAAGTCAATGCATGTATTCCACATATAAAATATCATACCTGTGTGTTTGAGGAAATAGAATGGGGACTCTTATATCAAATCATACAGAGATACGAAAGCGTTATCTATCGTCCATCTCAGACACACACTTTAAAGTACTCTTGATATGTTGAGTTACTTTGAATGGTAGATTAGTTGTTTTTATGCAGCTTGTAATAACACAGTGTTTCCATTACTCGCAGTGAATTTATGCAAAGTGAAGAGATTGTACAGCCATCTGGTATTGATAACTTATTAACTATGATGAAGACTGAGCAGAATAATCTGAATACCAAGAGATTAGAACTCTTAAACTCACTCAAGTAAGTCAAGCATTAATAGCTGAATATTATTTTAAAAATGATATATACTGTAACTTTTAAAACATTTAAAGCATTCACAGATAACCAAAGTGAAAGGAAAAAAAACTAAATTGCAGATGGTGTGTTAAACTCAAGTATGTCAAAGCAAAAATTCCCTTAAGAAAAAACTTTATTCATAAATATATTCACTTCAGTTCTGCTTCTTAAAGTATGTACAATATGTGCTATTCAAGCCAGAGTTCATTAAGATGGACAGCAAGGCTTGTTGTTAAATTTTAAATGCATGTTCTTGTATATATATATATATATATATATATATATATATATATATATTTACTATATAAGGCAGGTGAGTTACTATTTAGTAGTCCAAATGGTAATTTTACTTGTCCCAGGCTATGTTCTTAGTGTCAATCTCTGGGGCATAATGTATTGTCACATAGAACAGCTAATTGGCTACTGGCCTCATGAATAATCAAATTTTAAGTCTTACAATCCATTTCTTTGAAGCAATTTAAAAAAAAAATTATATTTTGAAAATATAATTCACTAAGGCTGTCACTTTTCATTGCCATATTACAGGGATATGAATCCACCAAGTTCAACAAAGACAGCTGTATATTCATGGAATTCACAGTTGACAGCAATAACCAGACAAATAGATGAACTACATGTACAGTATATGGGTAAACTACATGAAGAATATGAACGAGTGTGTCAAGTCTTGCTTGACAAAGTCGACAACTTCAGGGTACGTCTCAAACATATATTTACATATTAAAGTATCAATTATAATCAAAGCTTTCTGTCTATAATAATAATTTAGCGTTTCAGGGATTTTTCTTTGGCTTGAACTGTTACTCATCGGAAAACAAATAATTGTCTGATAATTCACTCTCTAAACCATTTCATGTCTTGTTCAGAATAAAACAATATTGAGGCTCAATGATCATTGGAGCTTCCTGAGAATCAAATTGGAAAACCAAACAATCATCAATATTCAAACATGCTGAAAAATGTTGAAATTGAACATTCCTGATTAGTAAATAAATATTTGTCACATCTCGGAATTGTATAATTTACATAATATTTCTAAAACCCCAATGCAGCTTATACTCATTACTACATTAATTAAAGAAATATTGTCACAAATTTTCACACACTTCTGTAATTTTACAAGTAAATGGATAAAATTGTTAAAATAAATTACAGAGGTGCTTGAAGTTCTGTTTTAACAACTGTAAGGGATGAGTATAATTTTAACGCTTTGAGCACTGTAAGTTTTCTCGCCCAAATGTTGGTGCAATTGTATGTACTTTTCTGTAATTTTAGATCAATGTTGATAATTTTCTATTGCCTACAGTTTTTGAACAAATGTTTTGAAAAATATGAAAAAATATTTTCATTTTATTTTGTGAGAGGTAACTATAATTGACCTTGGCAGTTAATGGGTTAAGACAGGAAGTCACACTAAATTGTGACAGTTGGACATCATGAAGGCCATTTAGGTCATTTATAGTGACTATAGTTACACTATCTGGTAACAAGGCCTATAGTTCAGTGTTCTACTGATTTTCAACCACAACTATAGAATTGCCGTGATTATGTAATAATGGTTACATTTCTACAGAGTCGACTGGTTGAGGATGGCATTTGTACAGATGAAAAAGTCATTGAGGTCATTGAAGAACACTTTCTACCTCAGCTCGGTCAACGTCAAAGGATATTTGAAGACAACCTTGAAAATATGGATGTAAGTTATTTTAAACACTGTACAATACATGCACTTAATCTAGTTTACACTGCAGTTTTTCGGACTAGGTAATGGTACTTCCAAATAAAGAAAGCATGTCATGTTTCATGTTCACCCAGTAATGTTAAATGTTCAGAAGGTCATCTTTTAATGTTCAACAAAATCTGCATTCGCCTAATCATATTTCATGTGCACACAATCATATTTAGTCATATTTTTCATTTGCTCAGTCATGATCCACATTCACCAAGTCATGTTATATGTGCACCTAATCATGTTGTGTGTTTTCCCAATCATGTTTCATGTGCACACAATCATGTTACATGTGCACCCAATCATGTTACATGTGCACCCAATCATGTTTCATGTGCATCCAATCTTGTTTTATGTGCATCCAATCTTGTTTCATGTTTACCAAGTCATGTTTCATGTGCACCCAATCATGTTACATGTGCACCCAATCATGTTTCATGTGCATCCAATCTTGTTTTATGTGCATCCAATCTTGTTTCATGTTTACCAAGTCATGTTTCATGTGCACCCAATCATGTTACATGTGCACCCAATCATGTTTCATGTTTACCAAGTCATGTTTCATGTGCACCCAATCATGTTTCATGTGCACCCAATCTTGTTTCATGTTTACCAAGTCATGTTATATGTTTGCCCGATCATGTTTTATGTGCACCCAATTATATTTCATGTGCACCCAATCATGTTTCATGTGTACCCAGTCATGTTTCATATGTGCCCAATCGTATTTAATGTTCACCCAGTCATACATGTATTATAAGCTCATTGATACATGTTTCTTTAAAATACAAAAAATAGATTATGTATACATTGTTCAGAGAACAAAATAGAAAATGAGGTACATTTTTTCATGGAATGTCCAAAATATTACAATAACAGACAAAAACTATTGAGAGATGTAATAATTCCAAACACAGCCCACAACATTAATTAGAAATTTATATACCTGATGAGTTGCAATGATGTTGAAATTATAAGGCAAGTGAGTGAATATGTATATGCCATATTTGATATTAGAATGGAACATCCAATTAAAAGATAATTCTTACTTTTATCATTTTTTTCCCCCTTTTCTTTTGAGCATTTAACATTTTTTGTTTTTTTTGTTTATGTATTTCATTGTTATTGCTTTTAACTGATGAAAAATTTATTTCAAGGATGCAATAAAATTTGTTATTATTATTATTATTAAAAAGCAATTATAGTAAATAAGACAAAACCCAAACTGATAACATTCTTTCTTAGAGTGTTCTTTATCATGATTGCATTACTATTTTTATTCATAGAAAGCACTGGAGCAATTGAGTCACGAACAAGAATTGAAGTTAAAGTCTTTGTTCAAGTTTGCCCAAGGAGCTGCGCATGTCTGGGATGTGCATGAAATAGGACTTGCAAAGCGAGAAAGAGATTTACAAGAAAAGTTAGAAGCTTGCAGGCATGAGCATGATAATAAAAATCAGGTAAGAAGTATCCTGTTTAAAAGTCTATATCAAGTTACCCAGGGTAATGTGTAGAAAAAGAGTTGATATCCCGTGTACATGTAGCTAAAGAATTATCAATACAGCTGTGAGCAATACCACTAGTATATGTATCTTAGTGAATGACCTTTTTATCACATGTACAACTACATCAGCATGAAAATCGTGAAACTGACCAAAGGAAAGTGAACAAAATAGAAGGGTAAAGGCTTACAGAAATGTGACTATAGTCATAATAAGTATGTCATGGATCCAGTATATAATATTCAAGGTGTACTTCAAATAGGGCAACTACAGTGAACACATATTTCTGTGAACTTATACATGTCATTGGATGGGGTTCTTGCAGGATATGGAGGCTAATTTGGATATTATCATGGACAGAATGAGACAGGAAGGGAGTCAACATTCGCTGAAAGAAACATTGGAAAAATCTTTGGCTACATTAGATAAGATTAAAGCTGGGTAAGTCACAATATGATTACACAAATCCATTTTCTACTGATGAGTGAAATATGTTACCAGTAAATTACTGTATCTTCCAAAGGAACATTAAATACAATACAGCTTAGGGTGCTTAGCCCGAGCTAAGCATTCATGTACACTTCATCAGTCTGTGCTAAGGATCTTGACGGGTCTTCAAAACAGGCTATATGGCATGGGCTGAGGTATTTGACCTCTTAGCCTACCTAAGAAGCTGTGCGTGAATGCTACAATGAAGTACTGCCCCCCTAACTAATTTTGAATATAAAACATTAGTTATCATAACAATCAATACAATAGATGTAATTACCATTATATTGTTATGTAAATTAGTTATAACACTATACTATTTTTGTGGAGAGCACATATATTCATCCCAACTATATTTTATTGAATTCCATAAAAGTACCTTAGTCAAAACATTTTAGTATTTGTATATATTTCAATGCTTTGGTCATCATCAGTCAGTATTCATTGCAGGTATGAAAAATTCCACAAAGATCAAGTGAGTTTAGTCAAGAACTATCCTTACATGGTACAACAGGAACTGAAAAGATATGATGAAGCTGTGTGTAAATTTTATACTGTGGGAAGAAATAACCCTGATGTGAGTATATGTCTAGTACAGATTATTGGTTACCTTAGTGATGGTACAGTGGGCATTGTTGCCTCATATCATGAAGGTTCTGAGTTTGATTCCTTGAGCCGACTGTTTATTGAGTAGTATAAATCAGAGTAGTCTGTCTTCCTAATGTACAGTGTTGATCGAGTTGAGTGACTGATTTGCACATATGCACTTGCAATTTGCACATACGACAAATAAAGTCAGGAGAGGCAGCAGTGACTTTAATGTTGTCTGAAACTAAAAATATTAAAGTGCAATATTAATGGTGTAAATTTCAGAAAGCTATTCCTTTAATTGCAGTTCACACTATATTTACTATTTAAAAGCATATGCACTTAAATCAACTTCTTGGATGTGTTTACATACTTAATTTTTGACTCCCGTGCAAAGCATACAATAGGAGTCTTTGCAGTTAGTGTGTCTGTATGTGTGTGTGTGTGTGTGTGTGGGGGGGTGTCCGTCTGTTCCACTGATATCTCAAGAACCATACATCGGTTTTTGATGAAAATTGGTGCATAGATGCTCTGGGCCAATGCGCAGATTTGATTAGGTTTCGGTAGAAACCCATGCATATTAATTACCTAATTTGCATGATATTTAGCTGTTTCATGACTGTTCCACTGATATTTAAAGAACCACTCATTGGTTTTTGATAAAACTTTGTACGTAGATGCTCTGAACTTTTGCACAGATTTGATTAGTTTTTGGTAAAAATCGTGCATATTAATTACCTAATTAGCATGACATTTAGCTTATTTTTAGCTGTTCCATGACTGTTCCACTGACATCTAAAGAACCACTCATTGGATTTTGATGAAACTTGGTTCATAGATGCTCTGACCTAATGCCAGGTTTTGATTAGTTTTTGGTGAAAATCTGTGCATATTAATTACCTAATTTGCATAATGATTAGTAAATTTTCGGCTTTTCCACTGATATCTCAACTAATAATCATCACATTTCAATGAAACTTGGTACGTAAATGTCATAGGACACTGCACAGACCTGGTAGTTTTTAGGGTAATATCAATACATATTAATTACCTAATTTACTTAATAAATTAATTTTCAGCTTTTGAAATTTTAAGGACTTTGCAGAGTCGATTGTTTTGGATAAATATTTGTGCATATTAATTACCTAATTAGCATAATTAATCAATTTTCAACTTTCACACTGATATCTCAAGTACAAATCATTACATTTCAATGAAACTTTGTACATAGATGCTCTAGGACATTGTACAAATATGATCAGCTTTGGGTTAAAATCTGTTCATATTAATTCCCTAATTAGCATAATAATTCATAACTTTTTGGTTCTGATCACATTTCAATGAATGATCTGTTACATTGCACAGACCTTATTAGTTTTACACTCAAATCTGTTCATTTAAATTTCCTGATTTGCATAATTATTTTTCTGCTTTTCCATCAGTACCAAGTAATTTTGAATTATTTTTACTGTGTCTCCAATACTCTCGGCACACAGGAGTTCTTTCTAAGCTTTCTTTGATTTACTTGACTTCTTTTCATATTTATTTTTAATCACTTGTTTCACAAACCAGTTGTGGGAATTTTGTGTCAACATGAGAGATTCTACAACTTGTTCTTATAATATCATATGAAACAATAAAATTGCCATGACTGAGCCAGTCTAGGTATGCAAGGGTGGACTTGCTGTTTTGAATGTAGCTTTTTTACTCCTCGTTTGGATGCAGTTCGAAAACAAGGACTTATGTTTTGACCGTTGTGGGTCCTTGTGGTCCATGTATGCGTCTGGACCTGTATCTTAGACATGCCTGGACCAATCACAATCAATATGAACAAGTACTTGTTTGACGATCAAATACAGGATGTCAATAATTTTAATGTTAAAAAATCATCATAATCAAGCATCATCTTCTGGATCCATACTTCTGACATGTTTATGTTCCAACTATATTACTATAAACAAAACTATACATCTTAAATTTGATAACTGACAGGGACTATGCCATGCATGGCTTGTGTTTATACTGTGTAAATGATTATGAGAATAAATTATTATTAAATAAATATTATTTTGTTTATTACCAGGATAAATCCAGTAGAGGAAACAGTGGGGCATCCCGGAGATCCACATCTCCATCTGCCAGACCCACTGCATCTGATAGTCCTGGGCGTGAAACTCCCAGATCGGTAAGTTAAAAAAGGATTTTGTTTTAATTGTTCGAATTTTATTTTTATGAAAACGACTTAGAGTTTGTTATTGTACATTATACTAGGCATCAACAGAAGCCAAGAGAAGCCCCGTTCCCACCGCTGTGAGAGAAGTGTTATCTACTGATAAGGGGACAACATTCTATGTGCTAACAGTGGCAGGGCAACATGGTTTGCCTGACTTTGATGGCAGTGTATTCCTTACTGAAGCTGATGTGGCGGAGTTACCACCTCATATACAAAATATACAAATAATGGATGAATTGATGTTTGAACTCAGAAAAATGTGAGTTTTTTTTTTTTTTTAATAATAACTAAACATGTTGTCAAATAAACAAGAATTACTGATACTGTTAATGTTTCCATGACATCCTTCTTCTCAATTAATAGTAGTGTAGTCATCACCATTCATGCTCCTTAACTGATAGGTTAAGTTTTTTATGACATCATCATGCTCCTTAACTGACAGGTTAAGTTTTTATGACATCATCATGCTCCTTAACTGATAGGTTAAGTTTTTTATGACATCATCATGCTCCTTAACTGACAGGTTAAGTTTTCTACGACACCATAATGCTCTTTAACTGACAGATTTTGGATGACATTAACAAAATTCCCCCTTTTTGTATTTTTTAAAGCATGAGGATGAACTTTTTGAACCATTTAGAGGACTGGGTTATTCAAGCAATAGAGAGGGCTAATAGCGTGGTAGCTGCAAAGGTGAGTAATTTTAGAAGCCAGTGATTGTGCCGAATTATAACATTTAAATGGATGGGGTTGTGCTTAACAGCAATGTACGTACTCATTCTGGAAATAGTAAAGACAAACAGAATTACATTGGTTTTAAATATTGTGTGCAAAATTTCAAGTACAATATGTAACAACATTATGAGTTTAAAATTGCCATGCGTTAAGCTGTTTTATATATTGAGATATTCTAACATAATTGATTTGTATCGTTATTTTTTAAGCTTACATTGTACACACTTCACATACTGTAAAGGAGTTAATTATTCACTGGGTTTTAATTTTGCTTATTTCACTGACTGGAAAATGTGCTAAATTAAAACCTAGTGAATATGTAAAATTTAGCATAGAACACATTATCTAAATGATAAAACTGAGAATTTAAAACCCACTGAATATGCCTGAAATGGTAAATCAGCGAAATTTAAACCCAGTGAAAATTAGTCATTTTACAATTATATGAGAATCGATGCACAATATTTGAAACAAGTGTAGAAGAATTCTGTTGACAGACTTTTCAGTGTTCATTTGTCCCAATTGCAAATAACTTAGTGAAGAACAGCATAAAATTAAACCATGTTATTAAGCATGTATGATATCTGATGATATATGTTAGTACATTTCCTGCTTAAGTCCTCCACAGATAGTCGAAATGGATGGAAAAAAAATCGCATCAGCATATGACTTGTTCATAGTAGCAAACTATTCCCTGGCGAATTATTTTTTACTTGTTTTGTCAACAAATAATATATAATAATATATAATATTTTTTGTATAAATGTTCTTGACAGTGTGAAGAGTTGAATAGTGAGTTAGAATTACGTCTCCATCTACATGGACCCCGATCTAGAAGAGCTGAGTTGGATATCCACAACGTACGAGCCGCTGAGATTGTCATGCATCAAGAGAGAGTGTCTAGACATTCCAAAGGGATTGCTGCTGCCCTCAACGATCTCAAGACGAGATTCACATCCATGCAACAGAATCATAACAAACTTGCTGAACAGTTTAAAGAAGAGATTGACTCTCTGGAGACCGTCTTTATCAATGCTACCAAGTCTTCCACGTGAGTAATATTGATTTTACAGTGGTGATACTCGCATTGTACCTTGTGCCAGTAATAAGCATGTGTTCATGACAATAATACAACTATGGAAACAATAGTGTTTATATTTTTGGCACGTCATGACTTTATATTCATTCAGGAACAGGGGTGCACAATGAAGTTAAAGCACCTCACAGGTTGTGTAACAATCTGGCTCGTATCAAGGTGTTATTATACATGTCCTCGCTGATATTACCTATTGTTATTATTATTATTGAGCGTCACCGCTCTTGAGTGGCTGGTTTTCCACTCAAATTGAACCAACAGTTTAACCACCATAATGTTCGTTGTTGTAGTAGTTGATACTCCGAAATAATTATCAGTGTCCCTGGATTTCAATTCCTTCATACTTTCTTGAATCACATTAACGTTGGAACCTTTAAAAAAATTTATTTTAGCTTTTTAATTTTTTACTGGAGCTTAATTACTCAGTTTTGGATTCCTTCGAATTTTTAGAGAAACAAAGCATTAGATTAAATGCTATTAAGTAAATATAATTGTTGTTTTTCTACAGCTTGGTTGCACTGCAGCACACTGTTACCACTAAGCTAGATAGCTATATGGGTGTCATCAGAGCCTCTCTCAGACAGTTTAGGAAGAATCTAGATGACACACTCCAGATGCTAAGAGAATCTAACGCCAGATTTATCAAATCATTCAAGTAAGTCATGAATTCGTTTCTTGTTGCCATGTCTGTGATTAGCTAGTATGGAAAAGTTATAATTTGATATTGATGAGACTTGTACTTCTGGAAGGCATTGAATGCAATTGTCTCAACAACATGCTTTCTCTATAATAGCTTTCTCTATAATTTAAAAAAAAATACACTGAAGTAGTTTTATCAGACTTTACCTTGAAAAGGTTTACCCACTCAAGTCTGAAGTTCATGCTCTGCATTGACCTTAGCATTGACTTTATTTTCATGCTTTCAACACCATGAATAATTTGTATCTGATAATTTTAATATATTACCGGGTATTTAACCTTTGTTCTGTCTGCCCCATGTACATTTAGAGTGACTTGACCAGATAAGGGGTAATGTCTTTTCAGTGAAGTGAGTCACGTTTTTCCAGGCACACATAAAACCCACAACAATGTTTTCTTACCAGTACTTTACAAGTTACTGCTGCTAGTCTGACAATGTGCTCTGTCTGCACACTGTTTTTTTTAAAATAAATTTCACACTTAAACTTGAAACATAAGTGGGTATGATTTTATAATTAGATGTACTTGTTATATCTTACAATCAGTCAACTAATAAAACATTCTCTAAATACTACTAATGACATTGACAAGGGTATTTTTCTTTATTATAATGAATAATGTTGAACTTACTAACACATGCTTCTAATACCCCCTCTAGTGTCCACTATGCATCCATGTGTTCTTTTGTTTTTTATTTGAAGGGCATTTTCAGATGGTGGCAACTTTTCACCGGAGGAAATCGATGACTACAAGAAGAAACTTGAGAAGTTATCGCATAGGATTGATTCCTCTGAAGGATTCATTATGGCAGACTTGGAAGGAATGGAAGCAAAAAGACTAGAGCAGGCCTCACATGTTGCAAGTACATTTGAAGACAGGTCAGTGGCCCTCTACAGTTCAAACTATAAACTGCCTTTTTTTTAAAACCAGAAATATGTTAAAATGAAGTATAGCATTTTGCTTATGAATTTACATGTAAATTTTGTGCCTATTAGTAGAATATTGTTAACTGTTTATTTATAATTCAAAACATCAAACAGCACATACTCAGTTATCGTATGGACTTTTTTGTGTGTTTTTTTTAATCGAAAACATAATTTTGTCAAAAACATGGACAAGCTTTGTTTCCAAGTGTAAATGCACTCTTCTAATTAATTGGTATTGTAGTCAGTGAATACGATGGATCACCTGATAATGATTTTTTGTTTTGTTTTTATTTTTCAAATTTACTTTTTTGTTTCTACATTGTAAAAAGGAATAGCCAAACACATACAAGTCTACACGTGATTCGTACTTTCCACAGACTGTATACAAAGTCAGTTGACAGAGCATTCTTCCAATAAACATATTTAAGTCTTTTGTTTTTTTCTTGGTCAATCTGACTTTTGCATTCACCCTATTTTGACAGTCTAGTTGGATTAGCAACTCGGACAGTATTATTTGTATAAAAAAATGAAGACAAAATCAAAGACTATATAAAAGTCTAGTTATGGTATAAACATTGTTCACCTTATGGATATTGGAAAAAGTCAGGATCACTGATAAAAAAGTTCTAAAACTGGCAAAATTACTTTTTCATCTCTTTCATTTCTTGTATTTTTAACCATTTACATTTTCATGAACATTTTTTGGTGACTGGTTGTCTGGTTTCTTTATACTAATCATTTTCATTCTGCTCTCAGTGTTCAACACAATAAAATTTGAACAAAAACTGGATTTGTTCAAGTATGACTAGAATTCCACCTTCATGTATTTATTTGTATTTGTAATCATATTTACTCGTGTCTTTCTGTAGGTTTAAAAATCATCTGTTTGATTTGACATTTATGGAGAAATTAGCTAGGTGGCTGACTAACACACAAGTTAAGATCAAAGCCGAGGTAGCTGATAGCAATACTCAAGCTCAGAAATTAGCACAGCATTTGCAGCTACTAGAGAGAAGAATAGATGCCTGTCAGAAACCAAATCTGGACAAGGAGGTAAAACTGCTCTTATATTTTCCACTGCCTTTCTTTCCTGCCTTTCATATATTTATTGTTATATATAGACAGCTTACCCATCACAAAAAAAATATATAAATAAACTATAAATAAATATAAAAATATGAAGAATAGATGGTCTGGTCTTCAGTTATTACATAATTATTGGCATTTGCTACATACAGATGGTCAGATTGTGTGCTTGAGTACTAACCGGCTGTTACTGTAGTATCATGTTGCAGTCATTGTTGTGTGTATCTGACATAAGGTAGAATGATACTCAGGAGTATTTTTGCATGTGCGCACATTTTAGTGCATGTAGGAGTGACAAAATCTTGTGTCAGAATCTGAACAGTGTGTACATTGTATACTTGCTGTGAGTCTTAAGACATGTACAATACACAGATTGTCAATGATGTCGTAAATAACAACCAAATTGTATGTAAAGAAATTAACTCACTCCAAATATATTTCTGTGAAAATGTTAAATTTGGGTCACGGATTTCCAAACATTTCCATCACAAGGGCATATAAATTGAAAAAAATTGCCAAAACTTGAGCAAAAATATTTTTATATTTTTATAAGGCAAATCTCTAATTCGTCAATAAAGTCAGGAATGAAATAAACTAAAACTAGACAATGCTCATCAGATTTCATGTACAAATGTACCATATACTTTAACAGTTCAAATGTGTGTTTCTAGTATTACCTTTTCTGCATGCTGCTCTGAGACATCATTTCAGGTGTTTTAAAAAGACAGTGTGGAATAGTAATTGTCCATAACGCAATGTAAAAGCTTTATAAATTAAATAATGAATCTAAATCTAGTGATTCATATCCTCCACAGCAAATAACTTCCCAAAAGCTACTAGACAGCTTAAAAGAAGTAATTGGATCATTTCATGAGCGATGTCGCTACCTCAATTGTATGAAGTATCTCACTGTACCCCAAGGTACTGAAGTAATGCAGGGTAATATCGCTGTCTCCAGCAAAGTAGGATTCGCTGAAGAGACGTCGCAGCAGATACAAGCTGACCAGCAGCAACCGATCGCAGCAACAACCACAACTACTGTGGTAACAATTAAGACAGCAAGTAAACAACCTGTGGAGGATGCAGCCGTGGGAATTATGAAGAATATACTGAGGTAATGTATCATATAAGAATCATCAGCTGTATTGTCTTATGACAGTCACAATCAGGTCTGTTTTAATCAATAATAAAGAATGTGAGAATTGAAGTTGCACTCGTTCCTGTATTATGGTCTTCTGACTACTAGTATTATTAGATGTGCTGAATTTGCATGAACCACCAATATTTACTGAATATGAAAAATGGGCTTCGATTCGCAGAGTTTCAGCAACACACTGGATGAATCATCCAACAAATTCCAAGAATTTTTTTCATAATTTGAACAAATGGAAGCCATGATATATTTAGCAAACATTAAAATGTGTTTGGATTCGCAGAATTTCACATCTGAATTACTGCAATATTCCAAATAAACAAGTATGAGTAATTTTTCACTATTTGAACATATTCGATCAAACCATGAAATAGTCACACATTCCCAATGAAGCTCTATAAGAGTGTGATTTTAATGTACATTTCTTGTGTGCCATTGAAGATGATGGTAGTTGTTTGGCTTGGGAGTCAGTGGTCAACGTGAAAGGTTTTAATTATTAAGTATTCAGGAAATGGTAGAAACTTGCATGAAACTCAAAATAACATGTAAATTGTACTTCTCATTTTCAATTGTATAAATTTCAAAATGTATACTTCATATAATGAATACATTCATACAATGTGTGCAGTCTTCACAGAGCTAACCATTAGTATTCTTTACAGTTCCCAGCGAGTCAAGATGCGAATGGGATTAGAAGATCATGAAACTGATGCACTTCATACAGGTAATGTCAAGATTGAGTTCTAAACAGTTTAAAAGTACTCTACTAGACGTGTATTTAGTAATTTTTGAAAGATTTTGTACAAAACAATTCAGTTTGGGGGGTTTATATTTTTATTGGAGATGCACTCGAGATACAATAGCCTAGGGTATTTTTTATGTATTGTGTAACAAATAAAAGATGTGGGTAATTAGGGTAAAACTTCCAAAATCCATTGCTTATTCTCCACAGATCCAAAACACCACAAAGTGTTTATATACATAATGTGTGAATCTAGCACTGATCATAAATCAATAATAAGTTGTATAAATGTGAAAATAAAACTGTAGTACATTGGATCTTTATTTTTTGCATGAATACAGTTGCAGGATTTTTATGTTTTTTATTCCACAGGCGTATCTAGGCTAGCAGGAACACAGTCAACTCAGAGCGATGACCAGAAATCGAAGTCTTCCAGACCCCAGACCAAGCAGTCAGATAAAGATCGATCCAAAGCTATATCTAGACGTAGTACTGGTCTAAGTGTGGATGGCAATCCGAGAAGAACTGCTTCAGCTAAGTGAGTAGTCAGCATTAATAAACAATAGTGTCATATAACATCTGGAAAAAAACAAGCTAAATGACAAACCCTCACCACTTCATTTTAAAATCTTTATAATAAAATTGTTTTCATGATCGCATGTATGACATATTGGTGTTGGGTCATACAGTACTATATCATACTGTATCTACTCTTTTGATGAGGGAATTTCACAATTTTAAACGGTGAAAGATATTTTTACAAGGTATTTTCACCCATTTGGAGCTGGATCTTAGGCATCTATAACTGAATTGTATTCACATTGGTTCATACTTACCTGAGCTGTATCTGGCACTATGCTGATTGATTAATTGATTGATTGATTCGGCTCCTGGTGCGTTCAATCAAATCATTTAAATTAACTGAGGTCAAATACAGCTCTTTGTAAAACGATCATGCATGGGTTCATAGATGGTTAGATTTAGCGAAACTGTGCAAATCGGACAATGTACAAAATCTATTGTGGGTTACAATTAATTTACTATAATAATAATTACAGTATTCGTCGCACCAGTAAAACCACCAAGTTTGACAAGAAATATTATGTATTTGGTGAGAAGAAAGATGATGAGAAGCACTTCCTGGCAATAATACGTGCTATACTCTGGGATGCTATGGATGGATTACTTAGTACATCAGAGGTAAAATTACATCTCAATTTGTGTGTGTATGTGACTATGTTTTGTATCAAGTATGTGAATTATGCTTGGAAATTAGCATAAATACAGAACATTCAAGATTCTTAATATTTAGCTGAGTGAAAGGTACAAATTAGATGAAAATTAATTTACGGTTACAAATTGCGGTTATACTTGTTTCCATGGTAACAATGATTTTGTGATCTCCGATGATATCATTGAGCCCCGCTTTAGCGGACATTGGTGAAAATACAATTAAGGTTGTAATTCTAAATTTCTAAGTTTCGAAAGTGTAAGTTCAATTTTTGTCATCAGATATTCAAATAGGCTGCCGCAGTGAATAATCACAGAAATCTGGCACATGCAAGCAGATTGAACTTTTGACATTAGGGTTGATAATCTCAAAATACAACAATATCTCAATATGTTGGTGGTTTTATACTATTTCAAATTCTTTGGAGTTAAATATTATTTCTAATAATTTTAATCCTTATCTTAGTGGTGAACTGTATGTTTCTTTGAGATACTGAATTGTTTGAGTTATGGATAATGAGTTACAAGCAACATACACTGTTAAACCAAACAAAAAACCTATGTTGCCTGTAACTCAAAGTTCGGTTAACATTGAGTTATAATTTGTGTGTGGTTTTGCAAAAGTGGGCCTGGTTTCGAAAATACAGGCATGGTTATTTTTGTAATTCAATGTTTTCATAACTCAATGTCCGAAACACTATGTTCGTAACTTGAACCATTCTGCATCTCTGTTTGTTTCACCCATGCTCTTGTAGTAACTGTTTCTCATGGATTATGTTAAAACAATTGATTAAATTAATGATAATACGAATGCAACATCAAAACTGTGAATTCTAAATAAATGGATGGTTACAAAAATAAACAAACATTCCCTTTACAACTTCTTGACTATGTAATAATTAATAAGCTACAATAATTGAAATATTTGTAATGTATTTACAGGTTTATTATAGACAGAAAGGCAACCGTGCACCAACTAGACCACAAGCTATACAGGACATATTCGATCAGTGTGCAGAGAGTGTTGTGATTAAATTGCAGTCTTATTACAATCAATCTGATGAGTATCATAACCACTGTCTACAAGGTGAGTACCAAGCTTAATTGATGTAGGTTAGGCTGTAGATTTATGTTATGGATTCTCTCGTGAACCTAGCAGATAGAGCAGATCTACGTGGCAATTCACCTTATTGCTTAGATGTTTAATACAAACATATACCTCTTGCCATTGCCAAACAGCATTGATCAGTTGTCATTCAGTTCTCCACAGTGGTAAACGAAAATATATTTGTTTTGTTTTAGTTAATCATTTATCAGCATGTCATTTGTTATTATGCTAAATGTTTATAAGTGCATTCAAGCCAAACATTTGTCATATTTCATGATTTGTGAAATTTGCAAAGCATCCGATTGAGTGCATATTTTCTGATTGTATATATTGAATTTATTTTCTGATTACAGAATTTCGTGGCCAACTTGAGGATCTAGAAGAACTAATTGCTGAGATTCCACCATTGGTGATCAGGGATCTCTTACGAGAACAAACGCAAACTTTTAATAACGTAAGAGTCGCGCTGGATCATACCTTCAAGTCTCAGCTACACGAATGGGACAAAAGAAGGGTAAGTACAGCTATCAAACACCAAGTCAACATTGTAGTTTCTATGTTTCAAAAATAGAGAAAGGGATGCTGCTTTGTCTGAAAACAAGGGACTTGACCACCGTGTGTCTGTATGTCTCTACTTACATATCAGACATGCTTGGACCAATCACATTTAAAATTCACAAATACATCATGTATCTTATGGTACATCTACGAGTCTATTCATTTCATGATCTGATTCAAAGTGGCCGAATGGTGGCTATTTTAGTGATAGAAATTCATCAAAATCAAGCAATTTTGCCATTCTGGAACCAGATCTCAGTCCTGTATGGACAGATTTCATTCAAATTCGATATAAACATCAGATAATATGGGACCTAGATGCACATCATTTGTATTTTAGATTGAATTCAAAATGGCCGACTGAATGAATGAATGCAGTTTTATAAATTTTGTAAACTTGATATATAACTCAATTACTTGTTATATCAGTGTAAACTGTGGTTGACACCATGCACAGTATTTCCTATGATGCATGTGAAATTAAAAAGCACAGACAACATCGATAAATTGTGTACTTGTAGTGTACATGGATATTTCTGTCCAGTGTCTGCATTTATAACATTCATATTAATTGCTTTTTGTAGAATGAACACAAAACATTACTGAGACCGACACTTGGGCATCCACATAATCAACCACAGTTATTGGAACTTTCAACTAAAGAAGATGAAAGAAGGGAAGAATATCTGAGTGGAGTGGAATCCAATACCAAAAGACTTCAGGTGTGTGTTTTTGCATTGACAAACTCTGAACTGCCACATGTAAACTGCAAAATGATTTAATTTTAAGGGCTAATTATGAGATTTGTTGATCACAATAGTAATTTTTTATAAATGATAAATAAAATATTAGATAAGAGTGATTCTGTACTTCCATATTTCGATAATTGGCGCTTATTGTTGGGTGCAGTGAAAAATACAAACTGTGACTAGACTCCTTTTTGAAATTTGTTCGATCTTTGAAAAAATAATTAATAACATTTATATGGCCAAGTACCTATTTAATAGTCATTAATACATAGAAGTATGTACATTAATTATGTTGGAAATATAATTTCAAACTCACTGCTAAAACAACATATACCAATGATCCCTATCAAAAATATAGTAGATAACTTTTTCTGATATTATTCTGGACTTTGTTATATATAAATTTAGATGTCCTAAAAAAACCAAGAAAATATCAAATGTGAATTGGGGGATATAAAATTTAATAATAATTGTGTTTATTTCCATTTGACAGGAATCTTCAGTTGAACTTGCTAAATCATTTGTTGATAAAATGTCAAGTACAACTGAGCAGATATTACTTATGTTGGACTCCTCCCTTATTGTGGATGATGTGGAAACTGGACGTAAGTGAAATTTTCCTGTGACAGCTTAAACCGAGTCCTCTATAGAATGCCACATTTGTTTATGTGTTGCACTTATGTGTGTGCAGTGACTAGTTGGAAAAAAAGTCATAAAAATTATCTATATGCTACAAGGTTTATCAAATTTATTTATATCGTCTGTTCCTATTTATTTAGGCTATCCTTGGAAGTCTTCAGCAAGTGATATGTTAATATGAATATGGTTACTTTGCTGAGATCTGTAATGCAATCCAATATAAACCCACACAAGACATATAACTGTGCACACACAAACATACACAATAGAGATATTGATACCAGTTTCTTCACCTCTTTGGAATAGGAGTTGATCCCAAAAAACACAAGACCAGTACACTGATAAAGCGGAAACAATCTGGCAGACCTTTAGAAGATGAAGAGTATAAACCAGTGATTGAAAGAGCTGGTAGGATGTGGCAAGGAATCCCATCAAATGAATTGATAGTTGGAGATAAACCAGAACAACCAGAACTTACTGCGTCTGTTACATCCGCTAAGACAACACTAGCACATGCTTCAGTGGTCCATGCCAGAGACGAGGCATATAAGGTAGGATGTGTGTTCAGATTTGTTTGCTTATAAGAAAGCAAAGACACAGTTTTACTGCCAATTAGACAAGAGCAATGTGTCTATATTTGCCTGTATTGATTGAATTCCATTAAAAATTAATTGGAGTGAACGTGATCATGTTGTGAATTAACATATCAGGACTATGGTTGTTTTCATATCTCAAGCAGTGACATACATAGTATACATCTACTCTGCCAACTTTTGGAATTTCAGAATATAATAATTTCTCGTATCAGCATCCAATAATTTATTGGTTTAATAGATAACAGGAACACATCCAGTTTATTAGGGAAATTTGCAATGTTATTGAATTTGTTTGACCCCATCAGCAGACAACAAATCTTTTTATTTACGCTAACTTACATCTAGAAAAATAATAACAGATAGAGGATTAAAACTCAAAAACTCAAACTTAAATTTTGGCAGTTATTATCAACAGGTTCCCTAAGGCGGTCCATGATCTTTAAAGTTGATCGCATTTTCTAGTTACTACTACATGTATTAATAATATTTAAGGATGTAATAGAGGTTTTTGCTATTGCAATTGCATAGCACATTTCTGAAGTTCTCAAGTCATATATTTTTAGTAGGCTTATTTTTCAAATAATATGAAATAAATATTGCAACAAAAAATGGAACCATGTAATCACGTTATCACTGTGCAAATAGAGAGGTGTTATTTTCAAAGAAATCAAAATAAGGCCACAGAAATGATGCTTACGCTGGTTAGAGATAATATAAAAGGTTTGCATTTAATTTCCCAGTTTGTCTACTGTTGATCTAGATTTTGACCCCATAAAACTTTTTAAAAACATTGCAACATTGCTTTGAAATATGATACCTATGCTAGTTCACAAATTGGAGAGTTGTGTTGTATTTTCTAAAGTCAAAGTGGTAGACAAACTACCTTTGCCAGATTTCATTAGCAGCTATCAGAGAATACCTATGCCAAAAATCACCATTGTGGAGCAGCTGGGAGTCGAGATAAACTCTCTAGACTAACCCCAAATACTGATGTTTTCTTATGCATGAAAAATCACAAAAAACATAAATCACACTGTATCTCAGATTTAATTAAAATGTATTACCTTTATAAACCATCGCTACAATTGTTTTTTTTCGTAGTTGAATGCATGCTTTATATTATCTTATAAGAGATTGTGGGAAAAAAAGTAAAATTGATATTTTCAAAGAAAAAAAACCTCTACTACATCCTTACTATGTTATATGACTGCACAAATACATGTGCCATACAGTCATTCTAGTTTGTACATGTATGAACAAATAAGAGAGTGGTAATACTCTTCTCAGGGTCCAATCGAGTACAAAGTGAATGCTCAGAACTTGCATCAGTAGAGTGTGCACACATGGTGCATTTGATTATGCAAACTGTGAAAAGTGTCACTGACGTAGGTGAAAGTGATAGTTTAGCTGACGTCTGTTAATAAGAATCCAACTGAAAGGGAAATAATTATGACACTCATCAAAAACCACCAGTGCCACACCGGGTCACTTAAGCATTGTGTCGAATTAGAATAATGTATTTGGCAATCAGATAATCACCTTTTTTGTAAAGTTGGTTGATACTCCTGAGGTTGTACCTCATGTCAGAATTCTTCTTGAATTATTCTACATTGAAATTGAGTTATAACAAAATACATAATTAACATGATGTTAACATATTTATCTTTAACAGGAATACCTTCAAATATTCAATAAAAACCTGCAAAACATAGAGGATGAAAAACAAGAACAGCTGATTGCAGAAGAAAGGTGGTCTGATAGTTGGCGCAGATCGGTAGAAAAAGTAAAGAACTTGTATTAAATGTGAATAAAATATATTATATATTACACTTCAAAGGATTTGCTTCGAGAACATACATGTGATTTGATATCTTTTTGATATTTTGTCTCTGCCTTTTTAATGGATTCGATTGAATTCAACTAATTAACAACATTCTTGTTTTTGTACAATTCCTGTACATATATATATACAGCCACATGGATTTGTACATGGTTGTGCAGTTCTTCTGTATATTTCAGATTCACATATGTTTAGTGGTGTTTATTTTTCCATCTTTGTAGCATTTTGAGTAGTTCTTTCATAAATTTTTAACTAAAAGTGTACATTATTATTGTTTGTGTTTAAATAAAATAAAATCAGTTGTCATCCATATACATGATTTGAATTAAGTCTGTTATCATATACAACAGTCCATCTTTTTCATTTTTTCAAGTTGTAGAAACTACCAGAATAAAATAAATTCTCCAAGAATTATATAGCAAAATTACCAAACAAATTTGTTTTGTGATTAATATATAATAGATGTGTCTTAGATGTTTCAACTGATTAATATTATTATATTTCAATGAACTTTGCATGAATTTTGATATACATATATGTCCTCAATTAGTATCAAACAACAAATTTGTTTGGTGATTTTGCTATATATTTTTTTTTGAGAATTTGTTCATTCTGATACATTGTAGTTTCAAATGACAACTGAAGTTAATGCTGGTGACAGGAGATTGCATGATTTCCCCACCATAATTGTCCTATCATGATCATGTTTTAATTGAAGTTAACAAATCACCTGATGAAAGCCTCCATGGATAGATGATATAAATAGGAAAAACTGTCATCAGGCGATATGTTAATATAAATTGAAAAAATCAACATCAAGCATTCCTAGTTTATTTACAAGTAAACAAGTGAATACTATATGTCATTCCGCTGATGGAATATAACATTGATGCATTCTCAGTTCACTAATTCCAGCTTCATTGTTGTCATAAGTACCGGTAAAGCTGTTCAATGTATGATAGAGAGGTTATTCATGTTTTGATGTTCAATATTGTTACTTACCTGTGGTGACTTATTGATATATTCAACATTGAGCAGTAATTTTGTATTCTTACATGAATTACTTATACAAATTATAACGAGCCCTCACATCATACTATCTATATTACATATACGTGACTGATATTTAAATTATATGCATAACGATCGCTATTCTTGCATTACTTCTTACGTCAAACGTTCACCAATGATGTAACAATTCAATTTTAATTTTTAATTTACAAACGATTCAGCAACCCATTCATTCCCCTAATTGTTATAAATATTGAAGATTTTTAAATGTCAAGCACACAATCAACAAGCGCAGTCTGCAAAGACAACATTTAAAACAACATCCCAGTGTCACTGTCATTGACCAATAAAAACCCTCGTTTCATTTTTGAAAATATTTGTTTGTGTCGATTGCATGCACTTGTGGTAATAATAAACACTGTAGTTACGTCACATGTTGCAAGCGACAGACTCAAAATTGTTCTTTTCTGTGAATGTGTTACTAATATTGCGAATTCTGATTATACAATGTATATGTTGATTGATTTAGAATCATTTGATATAATGTGTGTAATCCCCATCAGCAATAGATAATAACACTATGTAAGTAACAAACATACGTCTCTAACCATTGTTAATAAATCACATAGTATTTGTATAACCAATAAAGATAAAGGGGAATTATTACCATTTCATTTTTTAATCGAGATGGTAAAATCTCGTACGCAAACAACACGCATATTACTGCACAATTTATGCTCTTTTCGTTGTATAACTCACGGTAATGGTAAACAAACAAATTCTACCACGTAAATCGGACTTTATTTTCCTAAAATACAAAATAACTAGAAACAAAGAAAATCTATCACAACTGAATTTTAAAGCTCAACTAAGTACCATGGTAATTGTATAGCCACAGATAGATACTACTCCAATTGGCTGAAAAATGTTTCTTGATGGTAATGTGCAAGCTGAATTTTCGACAACGTATAACGACAATCTATAGAAACAACGAATAATTCAAAAAAGGGCTGAATGCTGATTACATCTGTGAATAAAAATACATGAATTTTTCACGTTTAGGGAACTTTGTGAATGTTTTTTTCGACTTTTCGAAATTAGTAGGTCGTTTTGGTGACTCTTCACGGAACTTCTTCGTCCTCCAAAGCGACTTTACGAATTTAGGTGGCATTCCTGACATTTCAGGCTAAATTTTCATTTTTTTTAATCGATCTTAATGATTTTGCAGATAGCTTTCGTGACTTTTTATGCACATTTCCCGAACTTGACTTTTGTGCTACGTTCTCGCTACGTTCTTGCTCGAAATAACAAATTGTTTTGTTACTTTTCCGGTACTTTTTCCGCATCCCAAATCTACTTTTTGAACTTTGCATATAACTTTTACGACTTTTTGTCAGATCGTAGAGTCAGTAATGCTACATGCAAAGTTGGTAAAGTGTGAGCATAGTCGGTAAATCACCGTGACATGCAAAAACCGTAAACCGTTACTACGAATGCTATATTGCAAAATCGGCAAAGTTGCATGGAGAAGTTGATAATGTAAGATACAGCTTTGCTCAATTTCGGTAAAGTTATGTGCCAAGTCCGTAACGCTACGTGCAATGTTGGTAAAGTTGCGGGCAAAGTTGAAAAACAATATCTCACATACACATGCGTATATCAATACTATTATTGAATCTCAGACTTTTAAAAATAAAGGCAAACTCTGCAACAATAATCAGCTTATAATATAGTTAATATATTTACATCATTCTTGTACAATAATAACATAATTTATAAAAAGAATACAGTTAACAAAAACTCGATATGAACAGTTTGTTGTGTCACTGACAATACATCCTCTATTAAAATACAAAAAGCAAACCAATATGCGATTGTGGAAGCAATCTACACAAGTGTCCAGATTAAATAAAGTATTTTAAAACAGGTTGCGATTATCAAGTTTAAAATGCAGTAGCAACACTGCTGATAGTTATAAAAGCACAGTGATTCGTACATTCCCGTTAAAAGTTTCCAGTCCAAAGAGACGCATTATGTGTAATATAACACTATGATATATCTATTCCATATAGATGTTTTTTGTTGAAAAAAGAACTGAATTGAGATTTAAAGAACAACAATATTAACAGAATGATCAAAACTATCATTGATTAATATATACTTGCCATACATAAGTTTAGCGGTTGAAAACATCATGCAAAATTAGCATATATGCTGCTGGTTCAAAAAATATCTCGTTACTTTGAAGCTGGAATATCACGTATGGACAGGCCTTATACCAAAAAGGTGAAAACGAAAGTCAATTTTGGAATAATTAAAGGAGGTGAACTGATTTTAAGGTGAAAAGATTTTAATGAGTATATAAATTACTCAGTTCACTATTAACTATCAGAAGTTGCTCGGAATTACTTCGATAAAAGAACTTTGGAAAGCATAAGCAAACAAACAGAACACTCCTAATTACCAGCCTACTAATATCCTTATGTAGATAGCCATGCACTAATTGACAAAATATAGCCATACATCAGATCTGAAAAAGAGAAACGTTTTCTGCTACGTGCGTGCGGCCCTCTAGTGTTCAGATAATTGTTTGTTTTGTTTTTTTTACGCTCAGAAACGTAATTGAATGTAATTACCTCCAATGAAAACGTGAATGCAAATAACACGGTCACTGATTCGCCTGTTTCAGTACGGAGTACTGTGTGTTCGTGTGTCAATATGACATATATGCAAGATATATACAAACAACACATATAAACAGATATATGTTGAAGATGTGGTACATAAATTAGTCAGTGTCACCATTACAAAAGTGTTTAATAGATTACTCTGTATATGTCATGGGCTCATATTTTAAATCCAGGCAGCGAAGCGAAGCATTCCTTTACACACAACACTACTAGGCTATGTATATATTACAATACTCTAGGGGGCTATGGAGCTTGGATGTCCTATCGAGACTCTGTTGTTTCTCTGAGATGTAATGTTCTGTTTCATATCAGCATACCAATATTAATAATAGTGATGTCATCACGATGGGAATCACGTTCAAGTTCAAAGTTTTACTGCCAGATACTGATTCGACTGAAATAGAAATAACAACAACACATCTATATTGGCAATAGTATTCGTTAATAGATCGTTTAAAGCAAATGGCCGCCGTCATCTCATTGAAAGCGAGAAGGCCTCGAGACTTGTTTTCTGTTTTTCAAATCAAAGTTTCTAAAAGAAGTTTTCCATTAACTCCAGTCTACTGTTCCACTGATCAATATAACCTTGGTTACGTGGGACACAGGACGGGAACAGTAGCGAAAGAATTGTCGAACTTGCGTCTTTTGTTCCAGAGAAGTTGAGTAAATTGCCAGACAACTGGACGCTTTAAGTTCATAATTCACAACCTTTTCCAACGGTCATAATATTTCAACATCATTTTATGATAATTATCACGTATGCATGCAATTCCAAAAATACTTGGGTCAAGCACAGCATAATTTGTTCAGCTACCGAACCAAGAATGTACACTAACGGGAGCTAACTAGCTGTTTTAAATACCTAGAGGATCTACAACTTTGAAGGTGCAATTCATCTCAATGATTTTATTGAGACCAGAACAAAAGACAAACAAAACATTGGTTGTGTGTTTGTTCGTAATCCTTATTCGATTGCCTAGACTCGTAACCACTTGAATATTTGGCTAAGGCATGTTTATGTCAGATAAATGGATCAATTCGTTATATTATTAATACGATACATCAGCAAAAAAATGCCGAAGTACATGCAAAAAGACGAGTTATCAGAGGTAAGATTGTATTGTATAGTTCAGATCAGTACGTTGACCGTATTTGATAGGTAGACACTCACCACATTCATAATCCGCTCCGTATCCTTCATAACAGCTACAATCACATGTAGCGCCATCTATCACACCCTGAGAACACTGTTTCCCGTCACAGCAATGTTCTTCCGGAATATACGCCTCGTCAACTGAAAACCACAAATACGCGGTGTTATTATATTCACGTCACACACGGTTATGGCGTTCACATCGCATATATTTAATAAAAATGTCCCGAGCAAAATAGTTTACAAACACACCTCAGTTATAATATTAAAATAACATCAACACATTTACACGATAGAGCAAGTCTAATGGTGGCATTTATATGACGATGGAAAATTTTTATTTTTCTAATTTTCCGCTCAGTAACAATCTGCACAGATTTAATACGTTGCAACAAAGCCACATTTACCATACATGTATATTCGTTTAACATAAAGTAAGTTATTTTTTATACAGTAAGTTATTGGACAATTCCGTCCACTTTCACTCACCACAGACTCCACACATCAAAGGGCAGTACTTAGCCACAAAGTCCCATTCAGGCTCTCCGCATAACATAGGATACCAGCCGTCCCAGCAATAGTAATGGGAGTCAGCACACTCGTCTGACAAAAAATAGATTGTTAATTGTGAAATACACGCAACAAAGTACATATTGACATACCAATGCGTTTGAGGTTGCTTATATGCATGCCGCGAATGGGCAAGGTCACATAAAAAACACAGAAGAAAGTTCCGTCTTTTGTGGCGAACAATACGCGATTCGAGGCACTTGAACATCCTGATTATACATACCTCCTAATATGATAACATCTTCGTCGCTTACCCAATTGGACAGTCTATATATGGTACATGCTAATTACTAAAGTCCAATGGTACTGTGTTTTCTTTATAAAACGCGATTTGAACAGTGCCGGGAGCGTGACAAGATTACAACCTCAGTCTACTATATCCGTCTGCGAAACATCATATTACACTCTTTAAATAAGAAGCGCCTCGATCGACGAAACCAAAATGACGGAGCGGATGAGACTGGTTTCGAGGTCGTTTGTCATTTAGAAAATAATAAATCTCTACAAAATACATAATTTTTTTTAATTTTTATTGACAGACGACCATTGCTAAAAACAAAAATCAACGCTGTGATCGGCGTCCTTTATAAAATTCACGTCACCGGAGCGCTCCGACGCAAGAGGGCGCACCATGAAGAAACAGTTTTTTTGTATTACCTGTACAGTCCAAGCCCATCCAGCCTGTATTGCAGGAACATTTACAATCATCTGTGGTTACTTTGGTGGCACAATTGAGACAGAGAAGTAGACATTCTGAATTCAAATATAAAGGATGAGTATTTATCGTGAAGTACAACCCATGTGACCGGAAGTTACCATAAATATGCACTTTAGACCTTTACCAGGTGTCTTCTTTTAAACAGTATATTTACAAACTCATAATCGTGTGATTACAATGCATTATGGGGGACACCGAGTGACATAGAATTGCACAGGAATGAACGATTGACGTGATTATACAGGCATGGTCAGCTCTAATGACTCAGTCCTATAAAAAGTGATATGTTGAAAAAGGGTATCGGTGATAGAGGGCGTCTCACTATACATAGTCTAGATCCAGTTGAATCCACGGCGGCATGAATGACACAGGGTATTTGATTCCTTCAAAAGATGAAAACCAGAGATCTTGTAAACTCATTTTATATTATAATATAGCAGAGAGAAAATCCCATTTAGAAAGGTATAAAAATGGCACTACTTACCGCAGTTACTTTGCCCGTCAACCATGCAATCAGGGTCTAGGGTAAGGTAACAATATCAATGTGAACGAAAAACGAAAACATTTTTTTTACCGGACCAAAATTATAGTCGACTAATAAACTAATTCGCGTTCTATCTCCAAGTTAACAGTGGTCTAGAGTGCAACAGTTGTATTGTATAACTCACTGTGTATTAATCATTGTGTAGTATAGTTATAGCACTGTACTGTTAGTCGCTGGCACCATACATAACACACACGTGACATGTAAATCATTTAAAGTATAACATGTAAATTACCTTCGGCATACATGGTCAACATACAGTCAACGTTACTGATATAAGACATGATACTTACTACACAGTTTGTCTTCGCACCAACTTGGATTACTGCATTGCGAACAATGGTGACCACTTTTATAAGGTCGCATGCCGGGATAGTTGCCTCTATTATGAAATGGGTATTAATGTATTAATGTGACATTTACATGGCATATTTACTGGGGCATATGTAGTTGTGACAACTGTACAAAAAGACAAGGTATAAACGCTCAGTCCGCCTGGC